TAGCCAGTTGTTGACACCACCCCAAAAGCTGACTATAGGAAGTCCTTCTAGAGTTGACAGTACTGTTTGAAACATTGCACAGATGTCAATGAAGACTACTTTGAGAAAATTAAATTGTTTTTTGAATAATTGTATTTAAAATTATCGAAATAAAGAATCGGTGACAAAACTTTTCAGCCCCCCCCCCCCCCATGTAGAACATTGAAATTCCAATCATCGATAATTACGCAATCCAATTCTGATGCTGAAAAGAATTATTGCATGGTTAAGAATAATAGTAATAGAGAAACAAATATTTGCTTTATGATTCTAATTTTCGTTTTTTCTTGATTTATCATAAGTTGGTAATAATATTCGTTTAGTGTTTTGTATTTTTGTTTTTTTTTTTTAATAAATTTCATAAGTAATTTTCTAAACATCCTGGAGAGTTTGAGTATTATTGATTTTAAAATAATAAGGCGCAATCTTTTCACCCTGTTTTTTTTTTAAAAAAAATACTCCTAATAGTGCAGCAATTCTTAGTAAATTTGATAAAAACTATTTTTTTTTAAGTAAACCTATATCAAACATGTTATAATAGTTAGGTAATAACTGTGCCAGGTTTAATTAAACTAATTTAAATTTCAGTTATATTTTTCATAGCAAATCTAAGATAGTCTGTAAACTATGTCTGAGTATGAGTCACTGCTGTTCTAGTAAAGCAAACCATTTCCAAATATCACATTGATTTAGTCACGCCAGCCTCTCATTTATGTCACAAAACAGAATGGTTACTCTGTCGCAGTATTAGTATGCCTCATATGATAAACATTAGTACTTATACCTACTATTATTACTAATGTTTTGTACCAGAATAATCTTTGCTGCGTGGCTAGTTTTGTTTTACAATAACTGTGGCTTGTATTGTTTTTGAGCAGACTCCTTGATATTGTAGTTTAAAAGAATACCAAGTTCACTTACTCAACATGTCATTGCTTATATATAGTATACGGAAGTACATATTAATATTAATATTATTATAGGTTCTGCTAATAGCTCAGATTTCCATAATAATAAGGGACTTCCTTAATGGGAAATTTTATGGATACTTTGTTATATAACTATCAGTAATGTCGAAAGGAATGGTCACAGATTTACTCATCGAATATACCACGTATAAAAAATTACATAACTAAATCACTCGCATTACGCTGAATATTTTTATATATTTATATTAAAATTGTTCAATTTACTTTGCTTATTCTCAGTAATACATCAAGTTGAGTGAACAAAGCGTGCATATTACCATAAAAGCTGGATTGTATTATTGTATTATTGTATTAAGTTTATTCTTATCTTATACGATTAATTCAAAAGGGGTACATCATAGAAATGAGTGTGTGAATGTAGCATTTTGATACGAATGTCAAGCAGTTGGTCGGTTGTCGGAGAGTGATTAATTAGATGTAACTTGAAATTTAGTTAAGGATAAGCCTTTTTCCTTCAACAGACGTTATCTACTATTAGAAATTTTCTGTTAGTCTAGTAGGGTTCTTGGTTATATAAAATTAGCCTTAAATTTCCGTCATTCAAATAGAAACTTGCAGCGCACAAATGTTTTCTAACTTTATTGTCACTGTTAGGCAAGCTACAGCAAGGGGTTTATTAAGCTTCTTGTCTGTCATATCGATATTGCCTTTTGCTGCTTCTAGGAAATCATTACCGGATAACGGCAAGTCTGGTTCTTCGGTACCAATGACTAGTTTGGTTGGGTAAAGGAAAGGCACAGTCTTTGCTTTCGATTGCCTTTAATTATTTCCGAGAATTTTTGATAGGCTAATAATTCACTATCATTATTATTGAGGTACCAATTAATCGATATTAGAATAAACATATCGGGAATGAGGAATACTTTACTCTATTTATAATGGTTACACTTTAAATGTGAGTTTTTACTAAATAAATATTCAATTACTATATGACTGATGTCTGGTTGAGCCCGCTACCCAAATATATAAATAAACCTTTCATTGGTGCACCAGCTCTACTGATTAACGATTGACCGAGTTAACAGGAACAATAATACTTTATTCTATGAAATTTACAATCACAACACGTGAATTCTGACATAGGGTATTAATATATGTATCAGTATTCTATAAAGATAAAGTTTTATTCATTTAAGGTTACCTTTTCGTTAAACTCTACGACTATATTATGCCAGTGCGGTCAAGTTTGTCAATTTTGCAAATAGCTTTCACATGCTTCTCAAGTTTTGATTTAATTTTACTGTCTTTTTCTTGTAAACTGGTAATAAAATTTGTGCATTTCCATAAATACATGATACTTTGACACTCTTAGTCTCATACAAAGTTTTCGATACGTTTCACTCGTGCCTTCTGAGAACTTACTGATATGAGAAATTTTTACTTGAATCTTTGCAATTTTCTCAGTTCATTATACGGGTACTGTAACAATGTCATAAACTTTACATCATCGATACTACTTTCTGGGAACTTTTCATTCCCACCATTGACTGCAGCTCTGCCAATGCGATGCCTGTTCCCCTATGTGAAATGCACAGCTTATTTCCCTATTACTATTACTGTGGGCGATTTGCAATAAACATGTAAATAAAGCATCTGTTGGTTCTCACGTCCGATTTTTCCAACCCGTTTTAATTCTGAGAAGTTTTCTCGACAAACAGAGAAAAAAGAAGCCCACGAAAAAATTTCATCCTTAAAAATACATGCATCGTTCCCATTTCCAACTAGACAGTTTACCCATTGGATGCAAGGTCGCACGCCATACACTTCTTTTTTTTCGCAAGCCATGATCGTCATATAATAGAGTATTTTTGGAAAATAAACTATTAAATCTCTTGTGCCCGTGATTGATGAATATCCCAACGCATATAAAAAAATTGAGCATAAACTGTAAACACAGCTGTTGTGTAATCATCCACAATCAGCAGGGGTCACAAGCTTTTGAAGACAATTCATCGTTGCAAGTTGACATGCAAAGCGAAAAAAAAATAAAGTTGCCAATTCGAAATCATTACAAAGCATGTTGTCGGCGATATGTACAATAGATCGTTAATGTGCGATTATGCACACAACAACTGCCCTCGCAATATTACTCGATGCTATTAGTGTTGCGACCGGATAACGTAATAGTCTGCTGATCTGACGACAACGGCAAGATCGTGTAAATGCGAAAAAAACTATGATCTATAGGTGCTCAAATGACGGGCAAACCTTATCTTCTTGTCCGTGCTCAAGTGCTAAGAGTAACGTTTGTGGCTTAAAGTTAATGTTTATGTTATCTGTGTTACCAGACGTTATCAATATCCAGTCCATAGTATATAGCTCTAAAAGCAGGGCAGGCGATCGTGTAAATTTTATTGGTTAGCATCCGCAGATGAAAGGGAATCCAGTTTGGGTGAAGCATGATTAAGATATTATTGTTGTTGTTGTTAAGTAAGACACAAATTTTAGTGGCTTTAGTAATGTGTAAGCTTAATATTAACAGCAGGTGTATGGTTAAAAAAAGGTAATGTAAATGGGAGGGGAGGTGCTCTATTGTTTTTCTGCATTTATCATCAAGGTAGCACAATATAAATAGCGATAACAATAATAATGTAACCTTCCAAACCCGAGCTGCGGAATGTTATCGGCCAGATGCGATAAGAAAACTCCTATCAGATATCAACCAATAAACACATGTGGCTTATCAGGCAACATATTCAATGAAACAGGGAGGGAATCCGGAAAACATGTTGTGAATACCATCAGCACAATAGTGACAGCGACTGTACAAGGGGTTGCTATAATAAGATATGACGTAAGGTGCACGACGCAGTAGATAATAAAGTTTTGAAATCGAGAATGTTATTCGCGTTTGCTTGAATAATATAACAAATGCATTTGTATAATTCCACCAATAACATAACGACGATACGGCACTTTAAGAGGTCTTTTTGCACAGCAAAAGTCTAATTGGGGATCCGAACATAAATGAGAACTTCGACTCGGAAAAGGCAGTGGATTTGTGTTCAGCCAATCATCGCAAATCGTCATTATCATTCACAATTAACAATTAACAATGTTTGAACCTTTTCGTTTTTTCCCCGCCTCCCCTAAAAATATGCCTCAGAAGCAGAACAACTCCTTTTCTCTGCCGATCAATGGATTAATATCCCCCGGCCTGCCAACGAGAACATTGATCCTGTCCCAGAATAGAATCGATAGCAATCAATTATGTCATCATGAGGATTATGGCGTGATCAGGAGTTGTAGGCTCCATATTAATACTGAATTGATTTCCTATTACAATAGGAAGCAAAAAAAGGATGACATATCGGGGTACATGTGCCTTGCACATGGGGGCCGTTCTGCACGTTATTTCCGGGTATAAGGTTTTTATTCTGTTATATAAACAAATCATATCGTAATTTTTGCCTCAATAAACACTGTAAACGACAATGGATTACGGCAACATATTCCAGATATCAGCACAAGTAAACAAAATTCATTAATTATCTGATCCTTTGAAGCGATATTATATCCATGATAGATTCACTAATTAACTCTTTCCCTTCTAAAAGTCAAACGCACAAATCATTTTGAGCTGTTTAACTGGATATGTAGCCGCCAGACGCGGAATTATAACCACCGAAGCGCACAAGGTAGGAAATAAACAACATGATCATACAACCAAAAAACAAAAAACAAAATAGCAAAACCTTCGCGCCCCCCCCCCCCCACCTCTCCTCCTTTTCATTAGTAAATAACATCCATTCACGAATTGTATAGGGATTCTCAAGGGTAATACTGAATTTGCTATTACCTTTTTTCCTCTTTGCCGAGATTGGGAAAAGTATGGATTTGGAGACGTTGTTGAAATTATGGCCTATAACAACGTTCTACTTTATCTTTGCAATAATTGCGAGCATACTTGCCATCATTGGAGGATACGTTTTCCGATGGTCCATACCAAAAACCAAATTCGCAATGACCGGCATAATATTTAACAATGTCACCAGTATGTCTATAGCTCTTTTAGTGAGCATTGGCAAGACCGATGCGATCATGCTCTTGACACACGATAAGACCGAACCACCAGCAGAAATAGTCTCGCGCGGTATATCGTATTTATTAATAGCCAATCTCATGGGTAATTTAGGAAGGTACGTATATAGCCGTTGCGTACATATCATCCTAACCGTGTCGAGTCTTTTCAATTTTTTTTTGCCCTAACGATTGATTTGCCTATTCTTGATCCTCTCGGTTCACTCACCCGTATAAAGATGGAGTTTGGGCACTTGGCTTTTAAGGAAACCCGACAACAGCGATGACGAAGAAATCATCATCATTGAGCACACTCCTCACGACACTCCACCAGACTCGAGCTGTGGCATATCGATCGTTTCCGCATACGACAGCAACTCGCACAAACCCGCCCGACGAGAAACGACTGAATCGACTTCTCTCTTAGATCATCAACACAACCCCGCAAGACGTAATCGATCCCCGGGCCTGCTGTCAAAAGTTTGGAAGTTGATCAGTGATATTTCTAATCCGCCTCTTCTCGCAGCATTACTTGCGCTCATAGTCTGCGTCAATCCAACATTGAAATATCTCATCTTCAGCAAACATTCCTTTATATACAACAGTATCACCACGACGGTATCTACTCTAGGGCATATGACCATTCCCCTAACACTTCTCACTCTCGGAGCTCAACTTTACAATCTGTCGGGCGGCAAAAATGGTGGGATGTTGTCAGTATACGCATATATTATGTCCAGCAGGTTTTTGGTCATGCCTGTGCTTGGTATCTCGTTGGTATTACTCACCCGCGGACTTTACTTTGATGATCCGATGCTGTTGTTTGTATTGATGCTGATGGCGAGTGGGCCAAGTGCGGTCAATTGTATCAACATCTGTCAGTTGACAAACACGTTTGAGGAGGAGATGGCAGAATTGTTGATGTATTCGTACGGCGCTGTTGCTCCCATCATGACCATGACGGTCATGGGACTTTTGTTGATTATAATCAACATATATAGCGAAACAGGTTTATGACAGTGTAAAATAGTAACATACATATATAAACACTAGCATTGCTTTAAACACACACGTCTAGTACATTACATACACAGTTTTCAGCAAATCGCTGCTTTGCCGCAGTTTCCAACTGTATAGTTGACATCTTCAGTAAATAGTATATAAAAATAACTATACTGAACCTGAACAATAGGTTCACTGGTAGTTGGTTAGCGGTAAAACCATTTTGCCTGGTTTCTTTTGATAGTTTTGCTTTCCGAAGTAGATTCATATGGGAAGATGTAGAATTTGATAATCACGAGAAAAAAAAAACGGGGGGTGCCTAATAAATTCCTAGGTAACTCTTACTGTTTACAGTAATTTAATGCCAAGCGCCGTTAATTTGACCTTACATAGTGTGTTATTTTGATAGCACGAGTGATTCGGGCACGAGATTATTCAAAATGAACTAGCTTTCGGCTGTAACGGAATATTTGCCACACATTTAATATAATCATAACTAAAAAGCCACAACAGCCGAAGGGCATGAATAGGCGAATGAGAAATAGTCGTAAAACTTATATCATACATCACTTTTTGCTATGTTAACAGACGCTAGTACTAACATTAATGGTTTTTTTTGCTTTGACCACGAAACCAGACCGGTTTTGGAGATTGCTACCAAACTTTAAATGGAAAGAAGGAACATGCTTGATTTACACTTGAAATTGTACTATTAGCTCTGATAGAATAGTCCGTTTTCATCAATTGAAATTTATTCATATGCCAAGCAAAAGTCGGCTGCAAGTTGAAATATTACGTAGAAAGAAAGATCTTGCTGATACAATTTTACTTATAGTATGGTATCATTGATTAATAAATACGTCTTCGATCGATACCCCCCCCCCCAAATTCATTCAAACCCTTGTGGGGGGGATCATTAAGTAAGGTCGCCATCACTGTGCATCAATTAATCTATAACAAGTTAGATGGAAGAGCTCGCATGTGACAGTGTTTTCGACAGTGATCCTTATCTCAAAGATAAATCATTATCGGATGTCTCTAAACTGGACAACCACACAATATTTATCAACCTGAGATCAACTGTTTCGTGACATGCCAGTTCAAAAAGACTTTTTGTTGCTTTACATATTAACATATGCCATCCTCCTGAATATCCGATTGCAATTGATCTGGTGATTGGATAGATACCATATTAAGTAATCGGTTGCAAAGTGACATACATATGCGCCTTTCTGGCAAACAACATTGGTTATATTTAATCCTCGTCATATGATATTTCTGCACGAGACAACCCATGACTGCAGTGGGTGAAATTATAGAAGCAAAATTTAATTTATTCTAAAGTTTTTGTTAAACTTAAATTATAGATATAGAAATAATCATGTGAACGTGAAATTTTCATGGTGATGCTGGGGGAAATGCACGAGACTTTATTTTAATTACTGTATTTATAAACACTCTGTTACCCTCTATCTATATTAATACTGATCGGCATGGGCCTTTCCGATTAAACGGGCCGGGCCAACCTTGTTAGAATTCATTTACCCGACAATCATACTATAATCTATGAACGCAGGCACCTTATTTCGATACGAAAGAGACCATCATGTATTTATTTATTACCAAGACGATAATGATGCCCAACCATCATGCTCATAATATTTTCTTCAATTCTATAGGAAGTCAATCCTATCATAAGTATTCCATTGGTTTTCGACCATCTGTTATAGCGAATTCGAATCACTATATCCAAAGTCGCGTATTTATTATTATTTTTTTTACAATAAAGTTATACTCTGTGTTAGCAAATGAAGAATTGTTTTCAAATTCGAACAAGGTTATAAACAAGATGGCAGAAATAATGAGGACTCAGTTTAAGAATTTAATAAGCAGTTATTTTTTCCAATAGAATAAATGGCATTTATTGTTAATGGGTCTTGTCACCAAAACTCAATCTTGCAAAGATTATCCATTCACTTTCTACCAGAAAAAGCACATCTTTAGCCATGCGACACTGTGATAATGTCGGTGTGCTTTATCCAAATATAGTCAAAACCGAATCCAAGAGTTTGAGAATCTAAATATCGGATGTGATTGATATGGCAGTTCTGCTTGGTAAGAATTACAAAAGTTACAAAATTTGTTGGATTAAGACAAACGTCCAACGATTATTTTATCCGAGACTGGCATGTCGAGAAAAATAGTCGGAAAGATAACAGTATTACAACCAACAAACTTTGCCCATTATAACAAATTTTGGCCGATGTAAGAAAGAGGTGACCAGAAAGTCGTTAACTGCGTTTTTGGCAACAATATAAAGCACAGTCTCAATTAGTAGCACTTTGATTTCCGATAACATTTGTGGGTAAGTCGGTTTGGATTTTCATAGTATTTACAGCTTATCTATCTTAACAAAATTGAACGCTGCATCCAAGTTTTGTTGTACCAGTTAAAAGCCAGGAGACTGACTTTTTAATGGATCAAAGTCGGGCTAGGTTGTTTCATCCAAGGTATTACGAGTAAGCAATACCTAACACGACTTTTTTTTTTAAATGTTTCCTGCAATATCGTTCGTCAATGGCACCGCCACGTCCAACGTTTTGCATTAGTATTAGTATCAACATATGACAATTTGTATTTTCAAGCTAAGCTTGATTTGATGTCTAACCACGTGCGTGGGGGATAATCAAATTCGGAAACATTTCGCAAGTCTTGTAGCATCTCTAGTCAATACTTAAACACCGAACAGTTAATCGGACGAGTATCACTTTGTTATCGAACAGCAGAGTTAATCTTGTTTGTGTCAAAGTATCTTATCGCAACAAACGAGAATAACACTCGGTAGAGTAAGCCTTTGCGTGCAGAGATTTGTGTGCGCAATGCGTTTTGTTCGGATAAAAAGTTTTTGTGATGACACTCTATAGTTCCGAATAAGCAAGTGTGTAGCAGTGTGCAGCTTTATAAAGTACTAGTGAAACTTTGATGTTTTTTGAAACTGTCGTCTTCCCCTATTGAGATACAACATTAATAATCGAGAAATACTAACAACATTGCTGCTTAATAATTATTTTAATGCGAATCTCGAATGAGTTACGGAACTTTGATGTGTTTCCTAATAAGTGACATCTGCGGTTAAAACACTATTAAATTATTAATGACAACATTGTTTATTGATATAATGGGTATTAATAATCAATGCTTAAAAATTATCGTGGTACAGTGGTTATTCGCCCTACCAACATGTACAGATAGGAGCATTATATTTCAGTTAAAGTATCAAGACTGATGCTTATTGTTTGTTTTGTCTTACAATAACAAATCGATAAATGGGACACTAAAAAACGCGTATGAAGTAAGCTTTCGATTGGTACTAAAATCGTTATCGATTACTTATTACCCTCCCCGCATAAACCTTCTCCCTCTTCGTGTATGGCTTGCTCTGTTTGATGAAGTGACAATATTACTTTATTACACCCAAAATCACTGCATAGAACCAACTATCGTAGAAAAAACTAGACACCGGGATTCTCCGGAAGATCCGACTCTAACCCTGAATATATTATAGTAAACGCGCCACTCAATAAAGTTTATTACGCTTACCGTAATATTATAAATGACATGCTGATTACATACAAATAATGAGAATCCTGCTTTCAACCCGCATGCGTTCGAAAAACATGTATACTCGCCCAAGGCCGTCAAGCATTCAACTTTTGCTATCAGCTATTTTCCTGTTTTCTCTTACGGTCGATGCTCTTCCTGCTGACGACAGTTTATCAGATTCAACAAGCGAGTCGGTCTTTGATTTGATGGGCACTGTTTTAATTGCATCGATCATAACAATTGACGTTGATCACATAAACCGAGGAGAAAAGCTTTTACGAAAAATTTTCTACTCAGCCTGTGTATTTATTACATTTTTAATAATTCCTTGCATGGAAATTTGGTTCTGTGTCAGAGCTTACAAAATTACCAATGATACTTTTTTTATTTCATACCTGACAACAATTCTTTTAATGAGAGTTCTTCGACATATTATTGAATGGTGTCGAATGCAAGACATGTCTGTAAAATACGTTTATCTGCTTCCTCTATTTTTACACATGATATGTAGATTTGGCAAAGATTTAATTTTTGGTTTTATGGCCGTGAACCGAAAGTACGTAAAATCTTCGACTTACTGGTTTGTGTTTGGGCCACTTATCGTAGCATTCTGCATTGGTGTGGGTCTATTTATATTTACTCTAAAAACTTCGGATGAACTAGATGAATGGGAACGGACATTGGAGAGAATGGATGATAAAGTCATTGAGGAAGAGCGCAATATAAAACGTAAAATGTTTATAAAAGTTTTCGGGAGAAAGTTTCGGAGGGCAGTATGGATAGTTGGATTCTGTTCCCAGCTAATGTTTTGTTTGGTCGTTGCACCTTCAGTTCTTTGGATAAAGCTTTACCTTACGTTGGGATTTATAGCGTTTACAATGCTTAACATTTCTATAGCATTACAATGCAAAATGGAGAAATCCGAGATTGAGAGAAAGACTGGAACAAATCAAGAAGAAATTTCGGTGAAGATTTGTCAATAACCGAGCAAAAGTATCGGTACACTCTATTTACTCAAAATTACACATAATTATGGTTTTTTTCTTTATTAAATAAACTGATTGGTAATTTTAACCTTTGGACTTCAAAGACGATGCTGCGAAACCAATTTTGGCTTTTATTGTTAAAAAAAAAGAGCCTGCGACTCAATTACAAATTATTTGTTCAAACCAAAACTGCATTATGAACAAACATTTCGAAAGCTATGAACGAGTTTGAAATTAAGCTCGAAGAATTAAAGCATAATGACTGTCAAAGATACCATTAAATTCAGCTTCTAATTACCGTATTTGTAAATTTCGAGTTTCGATAATTTGTCCAGATTACGTACACAAGAAACCAATAGAATTTACCGTAAAATTTCGTTGTAACAAATAAGCTTTTTATTTATATTCTTATTAAACCAGATTTCACAATAAACAAAACTGCTATTACTATAACTTACGTAATGAATATTTATTATATGAGGTTGTTTCAAAACTAATTTGTCTCCTAGTGATGGTTCACTTTAATTTCGAGACTACTTGAGACTACTTTTATTTTGCTCCAAGTAAGTACATAGCCTTTAAATTAGCAGTAAATATACAAACTATCAACAAATTGTATTGAACAGAAGGAGTTTCTTGATCAATGAAAATAAGTCGCTGATGGTTGTGTTCTGGAATACAGTATATTATAAAGAGTCACTGCTAATGGCGAGCAGTCTTTGTTTTGGAAAAGTGATTCTTAGTCACTATAACACATGATTACGTAGAGGGTCTTGGCAGCGACGATTGACTAATCCGTTTTACGTAGCAAATACGGTACATTAATATGATGCGTCAGAGTAATATCCGTTAAAGATCACTGATTACTCGTGTTGCTGGAACGGACTAAGAATAGACGCCTTAAAGAAGTGAAACAAAAAAGCTTGGCTAAATTACGAAAAGGAAAAAGGAATAAACTATTTCGTGGGGATGATGATTGTTGCTTAAGTAAATAATATTTTGATTTGTTCCGAGCCTTAGAGTTTAGATGATCATTGCCATATATGTGTGTTCAATGGGCACGAATCATTTATTCCTCGCTCCACAAACTTCTTGAAGGAGTGAATGTTGATGTAGTAATACCCTGTAGTGTTTTTCTGTTATGAAACAAGTTGAAGAGTCGTTATTCTAAAATTAGATCAATGCAGTGGTTGCTAATGGCATCGTTAAACCGTTTTATATTACCCAACAAATAAAAATGAAGTCATGGCAATAGTAACTAGCGTATGACAGTTTAATATTCAAGGATTTTCAAACTTGACGTTTTTTCAGAACCACGCAATTGTTACAATATTGGTCATTGTATACGCCAGCATCAAGTATTTAACACACTCAAAACTTTTCCGTATGTCCGATCCTTTTATTCAGAGACAAAAACATTCATTCCATCGAATTCGTCATGTTTGACGAACTGATGCATGGTCCGAGTTGTGCACAAAACAATCAAAACTTGATAAATATTTATCCCATTCATTGAACTATTGATATACCATAAAAACGCTTTCCGCCATTTTGCCACATGTTTTGGAAAATGGAATGTCAAAGACCCCGGCGTTAGAGGCACAAAAAGTTACGTTTCAATTATGGTCTAAAGTGGTATCTCGCTAACCACTGCACCCAACACTATAAAACGGAAAAGCCAATGTAATGCCTTTTGATTGACCAAAATTTATGTAAATTAAGTATTTTAAAACCTAAATACATCAATTCAAGATATGAAAAGCGGAATGTGCTCTCTAAATCTATTAAAACTATTATCCATTATGCTTCAACTAACGCCTGTACTATGTGAAGATGGCAGTAATAGCGACCATTCTGAAAACTGCGACGAATCTAATACTAGATGGGTATTTTGGTATTACAATCATGGAAAGCGGTCGTGTGGTTATTTTTGCATTATCATCTTTATCATACTTGGCCTCATTAACTTTATGATAATTGGGTGTCTTTTCTACCGGCGAATTCGTTCGTGCAAACAAGGGGAGCGAAAAACACCTCAATCAAACTTTGCGAACGCCATTCTAACCGACGATTATAGCGTCTCGATGTCGACAAATCCATATCCACAACAAACTGATCATGAATCTGGCAACGTTACTCCACCATATGAAAATGAGCCTTCTGCGCCCGAACCCACTATTAGGAAAAGACAAAAACACAAAGCATCGGCAAACACATATGAAGCGGGAGAAAAGTTTGCACGAGATTATCCTCCTCAGGAGAAATTGCCATCAGATACTGACATAAGTTACATAATCAGTAATGGTGGTGTAGCAGCATGTCGTTTTGATCTTGACCCGCAATTCGCCACGCGTCAACAAACTACTATCTCGGATGACGGACGAATAATACAATTTCATGGAAAAGAAGATAGCGTCGTACAAGCAGTACAGACAAATTATCCGCTGTTTGTCCCGTCACTTACGGGAGATGCAATAAATACGACCAGAGATGAGAGTAATGAAAGCAACGAAAATAATGAAAGCAATAACGTGAATCGCGAGCAAGATAAGACGAATGTGGAGGACGATGTAATTATACAAATACCCATGTCTACGTCGATGTTAGCATCCGAAACTATAATGGTATTGTACTAGTCTTTTCGTGTTGGAAGAAACAATAGAACTTTTTCCTAATAATACTAATATACTTGTTACGTTATAATACGACAAAGCCCGAGAAGTCATCGAAATTATCATCGAACGCTTTATCGAAAATCGATCAAAAACACTCTTTGCATGCTGATTACAATCCAGAAAATGCTTTGTATTACTATGAGATAACTGTATTATCTAACACAGACCCAAAGAATACGACAATAGCAATAGGACTTGCCACAAAACCCTACCCACCGTTCAGGTACGCTTATCAAGACGTCTCTTCGTCAACTAATGCTCAACTGTCTTATCTGCTGACATATAGATATTCTTAATTCCTCATACCAGATTACCCGGTTGGAACCTTTACTCGGTAGGCTATCACTCTGATGGATGCAAATTCAACGATGCGTTTAAAGGCTATTCTTACGGGCCCGAGTGGGGTAAAGTTGGAGATATTGTCGGATGTGGATATTTTGCTGCTACTGGACGTGTATTCTTTACTAAAAATGGACAGACTCTTGGCACTGCGTTTGCCAGTATTCGACATCTGTGGTATCCTACTATCGGCGCGGACGGTCCATGTAAATTTCGGTGACGGAGACAGATATATTGAAACGAGATCTACCGAAACCGCTAAGAAAATAGGCCCGTTTACGAATAGACAACTTGTTAAAGTTGGTAAATATGTGTCGGTGTTAATTGATACTCCTGAACTTTAATTAAATTTACAAGGAATATGAAATGACACGTGCGAGGGAAGTATTAATAATTATTGCAAATCCGCATAGTAAAATTAGCGTCGTCATGAAAACTTAAGCCGTGGAAGAATATGAAATTTCTTCAGCAAAAACTTATGAAGTAATTTTTACGTTTGAAAGAATTTATACAATCCGGAATAATATTAATACTTGATTTGCTTTTGGTATTACATTTTTCTCCGACGCATATAAAATTGCTCAAGTAAACCATGCAAACATTTTGATATCATTTCACGCAACAAAGTCTTATATTGCAAGTATGAAAATTTAATCAGCGCAGGTCATACACAAATTTCCTATAACATTAGCACCCTTATACTTTAGCCGGACAGTCGGGTGCACAACTTCTGCAACTTTTGTCTGACAATATCCTTTTTCTGTAAAGACTAAACTCTGTT